AGGTTAGCTCCATCTTCAAGAGCAGCTTTGAAAGAGAGTGACATGAAGCCTGAAGCTCGGCGTATAGAGCTTAAGGGTTCTAGAGTCCCCCATGAGGAGGACGTGGTATTCTACTTATCACACTCACTGTCAGTGCCTACAATGTGCCAAATTCCTGTGCTCAAAGTCTTTAACTGTAGTAGGAGAGACAAGAAAGCTGGTATATAACTGCTATTACTAAAGGAAATAAATAGTAATGCAGTTGGTCTTACTTGTTTATATAGTCTCTTTGACGAAGACTAGGAGCTCCTAGGAGTAGTACGTTGATTTCTATTTATCTTCAGATGCTAAGGTAACACAATTGTAAATTTTCAAGAAAGTCTCCTTTAATGAATTAATGGAAAAATACACACATAGAACAACTTATCAGGTACATGCTTTGAAATCTGGAAAACCAGAAATGAGAAGCTCAAGAGACAGCCTGTTTTCCCCTTTGAAACAGAAGTCAGAATGTGTTCTGTGCACTGCCCCCCCCCCAAAAAAAAAAAGAAACCCACACATTTGGTCTTCCCCTAGTGCAAGGAAAATTGATTACTCTGACATTTTCCATCAGGGGCCACTTCCCTCCACACTTCAGGGCCTACAAGGTCACAACTGTCTGTTTTCTACAAAGGATTAAAGATAATTAAAAGGGAATATCGATTGGGGGCTCAGGACTGGAGGATTTGGGTTCCTCAGTTGGGTTTAAAAGGCAAGTTCACTCTTAAAACATTGAGGCTGATCCTCTTGCTGAGGGGAAAATGGTCACAGTTTGTAAGTGTGATTTTTTACCAGTGAATCTAAATTGCCTCAGACCTAAAATAGAAGCAGCACTTTCACAACAGGCCCCTTGTCCTTTATTGCAATACTGATTTATGCAGAGTGCATATGAAAAACAAGTCTTTTAAAGAAACCTCTAGGACCTTCACTGCAACTCAGTCTTGACTGAATCACAAACATCAAGTCACTGAAGACTAATGAAAGATATTGTGGGAACTGGGAAATAGAAAAACCTGATAAGAATATATACAGAAACATCTAAAAAGGATCTAAAATGCCTTGGCCAAAGATGTGGGTTTTTAAAAAATATATTTTTTTAGTTGTTGTTGATAGACCTTGATTTTATTTATTTATATGCAGTACTGAGAATTGAACTCTCACATATGCCAGGTAAGTGCGCTACCACTGAGCCACAGCTCCAGCCCATATGTTTTTTTTTTTTTTAAGATATTTACTTACTACTTCTTCTATTTCTTTGTTTTAGTTTATGGTCTTCATGTGATAAGGTGCATGCATGGTAAATGCATTGTTTATATTTAAATGCAACAGACTTTAAGCACATAAAAATTACCATATAAGTCTAGAACTATCAATGCTCCATAGAGTTTTGTTTTCCTAGCTTGTCTTTTGCAAAATTTAATTCCCAATATCTGTTTAGCTAGTATTCTGAAGTTCCTTAGCTGGGATTTTTAGTAATGCATATACTTAAATACAGATGTTAAATAGTGAGGATTCGTTTTATTGTTTTGTAAGACAGAGAAGGCTTCAGATAGGTATGTGAGCATTGAACATGATACAGAAACAGTTGGCTTTCAGTGAATGGTGTGTGTGTGTGCAAGCACAGCTTCACTGGGACTTCTTTTTGATCCTGTACTTCATGAGTTTCTGTCCCACCATCTAAACTCGGTCCTCATTATGTGCATTCTCCACTTCCCTTGCTACTTGAAGCATTTTATCAGAGGTTTCTCAGGTAGTCTTAAAGATTTCACTTTACACTTCAAAAATGTAAATATGCAGACATTTTAAAAGTAATTATATTGAAATATAGTACAAATGAGACAGAAGAAGGACTTTCTCAAATGAGATACTATTTCTGTTTTAAAAACCCCACATCTGGAAAATATTCAAATGAAATTTCATTTCCTGTGCTCTTTTTGGCACTGAGCACAATTTAATTGCAACCAGATATAAACTCATCCAAGTAAAATGGGAGAACCTAGAAATGATCTTTTGGTGATGACAGGAAAATAAGGTTTTTGGTCCGCAACGTCACTAGATGGAAAACAAATTTGGAGAAAACACGGAGTGTAAGTAGGTAGCATGCTATAAATATCTGGAAGGCAGATATTATTTATCTAAATGAAACACATTGTGGATTTGGCAGCCAACAGTGTCCATGATGAAATCAGCATGAAGTAGAGTAAGTAGGAATGAGTAGAACTGGGTTTGATGTCAGCCCTGACACTTGCTGCTGTTACCTTATCTATAAAATACAGAAAAAAAACCCCCCAAAACACTAAACTTGTTGTGCAAGGGTTGGTTTAAATGACCTGTTTGCAAACACCCGTCACAGTGCCTGGATCAGGGCACTGTCAGGCAACAGCATTCTTCTGCGCCTCCCTCCTTGGACACATCTCTGGACTCTTCTAGGTCTGCTTCCACATCTCAGATACAGGGAACAGCCTTATGGGTATTCTGCATTTTCCTGTGATTCTAAAAGGAAGCTGATAATGTGGCTTTATTCTGCTACAGCTTTAACAGCAAAACAACCAACAAACAGTGGGAAACATTATCAAAACCTCAGGGGTGGAGTTTTTTCCTGAGGGGCACAGAGTTCTGACTGTCAATCTAGGCCAATTAATCATTCTTGCCCAGGGTTTGCAGAATCTATTATCATTAGTCTATCTGGAGGAACATCCACTCTATTTCTCTATTCTGATAAATTGTGGCCAATGTTTAGGGAGGAGTTACTAGAGGTGCTGCTAAGTACCGTTTTCTTCCCTGTGACAGCAGAGCAGAATCTGTTGTGCCCAGATTTATGAAATGTACAGGGATATTCTTCCTCCTCTTCTTTTTTTCCCCATAGTACTGGAGATTTAACCTAGGGATGCTTTACCACTGAGACACATCCTCAGCCCTTTTTATTTTTTGTTTTATTTCTTGTTAAGTTGTTGAGATCCTCATTAAATTGCTGAGGTTGGTCTTGAACTTGTTTGTGATCCTTGTTTCTTGGCTCCATTAGTCACTAGGAATATAGGCATGCACCACCACACTTGACAACAAGGACATTCTAATTTACCTAAATTCAATGAAATAAAATAATACAAGTGGGTTATGTCACTGAGATATGCTTATAATGGATGTGCTTTACTTTGTGCTTTTTTTTTCTTAATCCATAGTAGAAAAAGAAAATAGAGTGAATGTTTTGAAGCCCTAATACATACCATAATCTATCCTATATATTGTTGAGATGAATAAAAAAATTATGAAAAATAAACCTTAATATTTTAAGTACTGTGCCAAATATTTTGCATGCATTATTATACTTTAGCATCATCTGCATGTGAAGAAACTGAGGCATAAAATGGAAAATCTGCTGAAAACAGATCTCAAATCCATTGTACAGGGAAGCCCTTGACTCTCACCGCTGCAGTGCATTGTTCAGATCCCTTATGAAAACAGCCTATAAAATGCCATTGGCTTCTATTGGCTAGGTTAGGAGAACAATAGAGTTAGGTGAATTACATGTAGAAATCAGCTCCAGAGTCCAGACAAGTATTACCTTCCTCAAACATCTGCAAACACTTTATGTCTGGCCCCACCCAAAGGTGGGCAGTTCTTTCAGGGAATGTGTAGCACCGTCCAGAAGGGCAGCTTCCAGCCTTCTACTCATTCTGCTCACTCCTATCTCCCCAGCTGTCTTTGTCCCTGTCATTGTTGCAGGATTCACATCTGAATTTTCCAGCAGATGGTCATATTAATGGGCTTTATTAACTCAGTTTTCTCACCAAATAATATCCTCCCAAGTAAGCTGCATCTGCCATTGTCTCCCTTTTCTCTTCTGAAATTGACTTGGATTGTCAGAGAGTGAAGGAGTTATGTCCAGGATATTAATATCAAACTTATGAGTTCAACTGCACCCTGGTCTTGCTTGTCTAACACACGTTTTCTCCATGAGGCATGTCACAGCATTCTTACCCCTGGGAACCCTAGCTGGCACTAAAATGGCATAAATAATAAATAGGCTTCCATCAAATAAACTCAAACACCTAAATTGCCAACATTTACTTCCAAACCCAACTGCCAGGCTTGCCCCATCCTGGCCTCTCTTTCTGCTTATTGGTCTCACCTTCCCCCACTATCTAAGCCACTCTTATGAATCTGTGGGTTCCCATGTGTCCTGGACATACTCCTTCATTCTCTGACAACCAAGTCAATTTACAAAGCGAGGGATTACCTAGTTTGGGGACCATCTGCCCCTTCTCACTAGGATTCATCTTAAAACATCAGGATTATTATCACAATGCATGTTTCCCCAGGTTGTAATGAGGATAACTAAGATCTTGTGATGGTTTATGATAATATTAGACATCTTCATTATTCATTAAGAGGTATTTGCATTTTCCAGCAAAGGAAGTATTTCATTTTTGTTTTTATATTTTTCTGGGAAATAATTATTTATTTTAATTCATGATTATCTTTGAACAAGAGATCTATATTGTGTCTAATAGGGAAACATAAGTCCTTCTTTTACTCTTGCACACTAGTAAGTTCTAAATTTAGCTGTAAAGAAACAAGTCTCTCTCAATGCTATTTGCCAGCCTCCCCAGAACTCTGTCCCTAGTGTCTGCCTGCACCTCATTCCCCCTACTTTCTAATATAAACAGACATCTTATGCTTCTTGGTGTTCCTCTCCATGTCCCCTTTAATTCTCCAGAGCATGTCAGCTTTCACTTTGCTGCCTTCCCTATTCACCATGCAAACACTTTGTGATCTTCCTCTTTACTAAGATAATTGCCTTCTACATGACTGTCTGCTGAAAATCTCCATCAATTGAGAACACTTTTCTGATGACTTCAAGCCATTATTGATCAAAAAACTCAATAGGTTTATTTATTGTTCTTTCCTGAAATGTAATTGCTTGTATTACATAATTAATTACCACTGATATACCACCTCATCAAACTACACTGTTATTTCCTAGGAAAGACTAATGCCTGAAAATGCTCCTCATAGATGAAACGATATATGGAAATGTAACTTACAGAATTATATGGAACGTCTGTCATCTTTTCTGTGTATGTGGAACAGTCATCCAGGTAAAAACTGAACAGAATAATAATTGAATGACAATATGGCATTGTGTATTCCTAACAACAACAAAAATGGAAATGTAGTCAATTCCTGATATTCAAGGTTTATGTTGTCTCCTGTACCACGTTAGCTACTGCTGAACTGTTGCTCTTGTGGAGATACAGGGATGGTTCTATAAGACAGAAAGACATAAAACATGTTCTGCATTAACTGATTAACTAAAGTTTTGTGTCCATGGCTTACAGGAACCATCAGTTAATGCAGAACATGTTTTATGTCTTTCTGTCTTATAGACACCAAGTTTTATATTAATATCAAACTTATGAGTTCAACTGCACCCTAGTCTTTGCCAAAGGAAGCTTGTCTAACACCCATGTTTTCTCCATGAAGCATATCACAGCCTTTTTGCCCCTGGGAACCCTAGATGGCACTAAAATAGGGCCCATGAGATCATGCCCTAAAACTATGAAAATGTTTAAAAATATGGAACTTTGTACACAGTGTAAAGGACACTGACTTATATTATAGAAACTGAAACCCGAAGGCAAAGTGTCACCTTGCCCACCTCATAGAGGAATGTCTGTATCAGCAACTCGTTTTTTTTGTTTTTTTTTTTTGCTTGTTTGCACATTTACACAAATAACCCAATAAACACTGCAAGTATTGATTTTGGTGTTAACAATAAATTTTTATAAGTAGGCAAATTTACAAATTCATAAATATGGAATGCGCAAATAATGAGGACAACTACCTATAAAGAATAGAAAGGATATGTTGCAAGCTAAAATTCACTTTAGGGTGTCTTTTATTATTATTATTGGATAGCCATTACTATAGTACACAGAAGGAGCAAATGGTCTTAAAAGCTTTTGGTTAGATATACCAGCTTTGCTTTCTAAATTTTGAAAGCAGAGAGAGAAAATACTGCTCTTAAGCGTTTACCAGTACAGTTTTGTTTCCATTTGATGTATTTTAAAAGTCCACACATGCAATCAATTTGTATCACAGCCACATTCCGCCACTTAGAATCATACAACTTTGGAAAGTCACACGATGTCTGAGTTTCCATTTCCTTGTTGTTTGAAACACTTCTCCTTGAACTGTCCCTCAACACAAATGCTTCCCCTCTCCACTGAAGAATTTTGGAGTTCTTGGCTAATGCACCTGTGTCCTAGCACAGTGCTTCTCAAATACTGATAGGCACAAAAATCCCTCAAGGATACTGTTAAAATGCAGACTGATTCAGGAGGTATGGGTAGAATATAATATTGTGCATTTCTAATATGTTCCCAGATAATGCTGATCCCACTGGACCAGGGAACATACTTGGAATAGCACCTTGCAGAAGACTTCTAACTTCCATGAACTACTTTGTTTCTGAACACTTTCTTCCTGTATTCTTCCTTAGCTCTAACTTAATGATCAAAGCTTTGACTTCCAAGTAGAGCAGATGTCATGCAATGGAAAAATGGAATAACACCCATTCTGGCTAGTCTCTTAGTTTTCTATGCTACTTTCTTATTGATTCCACTGAGCATAGACTATACATAAATTTAGATGAAGGGGACATTTAAGACCTATTCTTAGTATGACTTGTGTGCATTCAAAACTTTTCAGTGCACATTTCAATTATTGGAGAAAAAGAATCATGGGAAAATGAAAAGAGAAACTAGAAGAGTAAAATATGGACAAAGTATTAAAAAAATTGCCTTTCAAATAGGTATAGTGTCTGCCACATATTGAGTACTCTCCATGTGTTGGGTTTACCATTATATGAGTAATGAAATACTCTGAAAATGAGCAATTATCTGAGTAATGTGATAAACCCAAACAGCTCCTGCCTTGTCTTGTTTTGAGCTCTAAGAAAATAACTTTTTTTTCAACTGTGGAATGATAGGCATTTAAATAGAGAATGAGAAGTTTTAATTTAATATGGTTGATAAGATGTTTGATGGGGCTGTCACAATGACAGCAAGTTTTCAATGCATTTATTGGGATTGCCTGTGTTGAGTGAAAGGCAAAAAGAACTCTGGGAAGTTTTCATTCACATTGACCTATTTTGAGTGCAATGCAGATGGAAAGAGCAATGACGCAGAATTATGATTTCTAATAGGAAAACACTGCTGTTCAGTGTACACCAAGGAACAAGGACACCCGTGACTAGAAGATGGCTGAGCTTATTTCATAGATCTAAAGAGTTCTTAGTCCTGGTGAAGAAATGAAAAGCTGGAATTTTTTTGAATCCTTACAATTTTGCTGGAAAGTGTTCTAATATATGGATCTTTTTCTCAACTCAATTTTTGTCCTGGCTATGAAGATATCAGTTCTTAATAAGTGTGATATTTCTGTTTGGAGTTTCAAACTCAAGAGTGGTAAACAGACCAGGGGTGCGGTGGGAAGGGCTACACTTTTAAAACCAGGGGTTATTTGTTTGAAAAAGGAGAAATTTTTGAGAGAGAGAAAGAAATTTACTGACTAATTAATTAAATATAAATTTTATATTTTGTAACGTTGCCTGTTTAAGATGAGGTCTACTTCCTCCTGCCAGAGTAAGAGCATGGTCCCACAGGAGGAAAAAAATGAGAGGTACAATTTTAGGACTATTACTTTCACTCCTGAGAAAGAACCTACATGAATGCTTATTAGTAATAATATACCTTAAATTTTACTAACAGAAAGTATCAGTAATTGAAAATAGATTATCTTCCCACTGACAAAATATGTAATACTTACTATCCCTATCATATATTAAAATGCATTTGGCACATTGTGGATACCTTTGTCTAAGGCTTTTCTTGCTAGTACATTAATTTACCTCTTGGTGACTTTTCATTTTTATTTTAAAAGATTGCAACATAAGAATGAAGACTATTTCATGGACTGTGTCAATCCTCCATAGTGCTCACTATACATAGTGATTAATATAGTCTAATGGATGCCATATCTACAATACTGTTGACAATAAAGTAATACCTGCCATTTTATCAAGCATCCCTGATATGATAGGCATTCTGATGGGTACTGTACATATATAATTTGTACATCTTAAAACAACCCAGATAGAAAAGTGTCAGCATCCCTTTTTGAAACATGAAGAAATTGCCTTGAGGTTAATGGCAAGTCTCATGTCACATGAATCGTAGGCAGATGAGCCAAGTTTACTCTGACTCTAAGCATAGGCATCATTACCACCAATAATAGAAAAGTATCTAAGAAAATAGTATTTGAGAAAGGTCTCAAATTGCTGACCATTGTGTTTTTAATCCACTTTAATTCCAGATGCCAAAGTAATTTCTAAATATTATTCTAAAGTCTCTCTCATGTCTAAGAGATCAGAGTAGCCTCCAAACTCACTTAATAAAAGATTATGGCCTCCATAATCTTGTTTTCAAGATCTTTCCCTTTAATTAATTTCAATTTTTATCTTTTATCATTCTACTTTAAGTCTTTTCAATTTTTTTTTTAAATCCCAGCTAATGTCATGAAAGTTCAACTCCCAGAGATGTCTTCAATCCTCCAACGTGGAGGAGGCAGTGTGGTATGGAGAAAGAAGGGAAAAGGTTTGAAAATTCTAGAATACCCTTACAGCTACATTTCTTAAGTTTTTCCCTGAACACCCTATTTCCTTAGTCATTCTGTATCCCTTCACCCTAAGTTTCACTAATTAACGATGTTAGATTAATAACACTACACTGTTCTGTGTGAATAAACAAACTTCATATCTCAGTGTGTTGTCACAATGCTCTTCTGGCTTTCACCATGGTTTGATGTGGACCAGATATTCCTCCTCTATCCTATTGCTCTGTGTTCTCCAATACATAAACTCTAAAGAGAATAGCACAAGAAAGGATGCAAGGGTCCCTTAACTGGCTTGGCTGGGACTTGGCACACATCTCAGTCCACTGACAGTAAGGTGGCCCACCTAACAGCAAGAAGGGCTGGGGAATATGCACATCTGTATTGGTGACCACTGTTACTGTCACTTTAGGTTACATAGGGACTATATTTCTTTGTTGTTTTCTTCTCTCTCCCTCCACCAGGAAATTTCTTCATCCTGTCATAGATTTGTTTTTATTTTCCATGATAAGAAGACCAATAGTACTTTGGCTGGTATACAATAGCACCCCATAAACAGCCATTGAGTGAAAGAATACTTGTGATTGATTTAAGAGAGCCCCATGGTGGCTTTTGAATGTCTTTTTCATGGAAGAGTGGGATGCAAGTCCCTTGAATCTGTAATAATGTTAACCAATATATTGTGGTGGGAGTGATTGTATACTAGCTATAGATCTTCTAAAAGAGTTGGCACTCTCCAAGTTTTTTTCTTAGTGGAGCCCTGAATCGCCATAGGAGTACTCTATCTATCCTGAAGAAGTTACTATGAAGAAGCAAAGATAGTCATTTGCAGAAGATGAATGGAGAGAGAGAGAGAAGGAGAGAGAGAGAGAGAGAGAGAGAGAGAATGCTTTTTTCTAGGACCTTATTCTTATATCATCTGAGGTCATAGATTTTACAGAGCAGAGATATATCATCCTTATCCAAGTCCATGATCAACAAAATAATATGAAATACTCAACATATTGTTTTAAGAAACCAAGTTTTAAGTTGATAGTTGTACTAATACTTCATGATGATTGACTTTTAGCTGGTCAATCCCAGTACCTACAGTCTAAGTCACAGTGAATTCATTAACTCTCATTATAAAAGATTCAGCATTCTAAAAATCACTACTTTTTCATATCTATGTACAAATGTTCCTTTTCCATAAAGTCTTTATTATCTCTCTTATTTGATTTTCAGAAGTGTCATCTTCCATATGCCCTGGCATCTTGCCATAGCACTGAATTACTTCTGCATATTTATTCTTTACAATGATCTGATGACATGTGATGCTTATCAGGTAACACATTATTATAGTGCTCATTTTCAGAAGCCCCAAGTCCTTTTGTACGCCTTTTATATGCTCAAGAAGAAAATATGAAACAAATGCATTTAAAAAGTCAATCACTCACTTTAGCTAATATTATTTAAATTTACTTATATGAGCCTCATGCACTTCACAGCTCATCTTTACACACCCTCCTATCCAGACACTACACATGACAATAGTCACCTAAATATACTCATTTGTTTAAAAATATTTCTGTTCCCATTAGTAGTAAAGCCCTCATTATGGCTTGATCTGAAATGTTGCCCAAATGCTCATGAATTAAAAACTTGTTCCCCAGTGCAGCGATGTTCAGATGTAGTACTCTTGAGAAGCAATTGGATCATGAGGACTGTAATCTAATTAGTGGATTGATCCATTTGACAGATTCATAATTTGAATAGACTATTGGGATGTCCTAGAATCTGTAGAAGGTGGGACCCAGTTGGAGGAAATAGGTCATTGGGGGTATTGCCTTGGAAGAGTGTATCTTGTTCCCTTTATTGCTTTCTTTCTCTGTTTCCCAGTTGCAGAGTTGAACATCTTTGCTCAGCTATCTCCTTCTGGATGACCTGCTTTCCCACAGGTCCACAATTATTGAGCCACATAATTGTAGGATGAACACTCTGAGAGAATAAGCCAAAGTAAATCTTTTCTCCTTTTAAGTTGTTTAAGTTAGCTATTTTGTCACTGTGACAAAGAGCTGACTCATAGAATTCTAAAGGGCTAGCACTCTGAGTCCCAGTTACTCAGCAGAGGTAACCAACATATATTAATATTTGTGCCTTAAAGTGAATAAATAAAAATAAAATTGGCACTGTCAGGAAAGCACAGAATAAGTGTATATGGAGTATCCCTATATCTTCATTTTTACTTTCAAAGTTTAATCATAGTATATACTTGCAATGCCAAAGGACAAATATATGGTGGTCTATTTTAAAGTCCCCTTGAAGTATAAAAAAATTATATCAAATGATCATAACTGCAGTTCGATTTCAATTAATATGAAAATAATTGAGAAGATAATTTAGACTCTCTGTCCCAAATCAATTGTTCTCTGGCTATGATACCTAAAAAGATTTTTAAAGTTTTCTTACCATCACCAAAAGGCTAGTATGGATATATGGATATACAAGTAACTATAGAAATAATAAATCAAATTCTCCATAGCCAGAGATTAAAATAAAAGGGAATTAAAAATCACAAGGCTTTTATATTTTCAGGAATGCTTTCAAAATAAAAAAAATTCCTTAGAAACTAAGTAAAGCATGTGTAGTTACACAGTTCTATAACCCTATTACATAAATATAGCACTATGGTATAGGCAAAGGTGATGTTTCAATCAAATAAGTAAACACTGATTAAGAATTGGGTGTGATCACAGCAATAATGGATATGTTCCTTTGATTAGTCACCCAGGTTCAAAAACTACAGAATTTAAATTAAGACAATCTAATTAGGCAAAGTTACTTGGTAAACTGAGTAGTTGGAGATCAGAATCATGCATCCAATCAAGAAGAATGTTATTGAGTAATTTCATTTGTTGGCCTCTTCTGTTTTTTTCTGTATCCCTGTTCATATTCAGCACCCCAGTGAAGAGAGTTCAGTTCAACTCATTGTCATCTCTTTCAAAACATAGCTCCTGAGGTTTCTGTCTATAGTGACTCTTCTCTTCCTCTATGCTGCCATCTCATGCGTCGGGAAGTTAGTATTTTCCCCTTTGAATTGTAATTATTTCCATGCATTAGCTCCTCTGCCGGACTGTAGGTTCCTCAAGGAGCTGAGCCCATGTTTTATTCAGGTTTGTTCCTCTATGGAGCATAGCTCTGGGATCTCACGTTGAACACCAAAAACAGATGTATCATTTTTTTCTTCACTTATTTTCACATCCATATTCTTATCTAAGATAGACCTTCACAAGTCATTTCGTGGTTTAAAAGAGAATACATTTGGACCCTTACAGAGAAGTGAGGTAAATAACAAGTCCAATAGTACAGAGGAGAAATCCTTTCCTGTAGTGGTACCTGCTGCATATTTCAATTTTGACATTTGTTTGCTTTCATTATTGATAGGTAAATTTGTTGTTGTTTGATTGAAAGTGATAATTTTGTTTCCTTAATTATGTGTTAGGACATGTACTTGTCACTAGATGATTTATCAAAGTAATCAGATTATTAAAAAAGTGAACTCATAGCTTTGAATCATAAAGTAGAGGTACAGATTTTCCCACAAATCATTTAGCATCTTTTTCTTTCATTTTACACATAATGAAAAAATGTTTGATCCTGCTCAGAAAAAGAATAAGAATAAAGCAGCTCAGCTCTCAAATTTTCAAAACTTTTGATACTGAAAGCAACTTTCATTACAATGTACAACTTCTTAAAGGAAGCATTCAGGTCTTATAACATTTGGGAGTGTGTGGCATTTTGGAGAAGAAAGAATTAGACTACTGTTATAAGAAGCTTCAGGTTAAATATCAATAGTAGGAGCTTTGAAAAAGGTACACAAATCACTACTTTATAAGATGGAGTAAGATTTAAGGTCACAAGAGAGATACAAGTTTCAAACAGAAAAGGTCTGTGCTGCAGGGGAAGACTGACTCTGGAAAGAATACCAGAGCCTTTTAGATGGGCAATGTAGAATTGCTTGCATTTCAATTCTTGGTCATTTCATAAAATAGCTATACCTTCAATACAGTGGAATTTGGAAATGGAAGGCATTTCCACACTATCTCTTATACTGACATTCTCCTCTCTATCTTCCTTTTTCTCATCTTAGTACACTACATTGCTGTCACATCTTCTTCCATCCTTGATCCTTAAAATTTAGATAAATCTTTTCACTAGTTTTCAATCTTTTCGCTAGTTTTCAAGTGTCTGTAATTGAGATCCTAGCTCAAATCCTTTTCAAGAAATTCGAGATTTTTCAGTTTAAATTTAAATACTCTTTAAATCTTTGCATGTAGAATTTGTACAAAATCCCCCCCACACACAATAATGCAAAAGGTGCCTTCCAAGAATTCCATCAGAAGCTCCTGATATCACATGCAAAATTGTGTGTGAGTTTTCCTGGGTTATTATCTATGACTATTGTTCATATGCTCATAAGCAGACTTTACCTAGTGCATTTGAGAAGTCCTATTACTTCCAGAGCATTTGGAATATATTAAATGCATAAAAATCCTGTGAAGTAGTAACATTCAAGATTTCTAAGAAGAAGCAGAATGTTTCCTGAAAATAATGAACCTCTCACAGTTGATCAACATAAGTAAGTGAAAATGTGCCATGGGGTTGATGTAATCAAGAGGACAGTCTTAGGAGCTTGTTCTCTGTTCTCACTTAGCCCACTAACTAGACTTGAGATGAAAGTTACCAAATATTACATATTTTATGAAAAGTTGGGAATCTACATTTTTATGCATATAAGAGTTTGCATTGATAAATAATTTAAAACATTTTTAAAGTATATAAGTAATAGAGAAAAAAATTATTTTCAATTTGAAAATATGATAAATTTCTACAAGAAAATCTAGAATTAACATTATACTTTATGGTGAGAAGCTAGAAGCTCTCTGCTAAGATCAGGGAGAAGGCAAAGATGTTTCCTTGCTGCATCCCTTTCAGCGTTGTACTAGAAATGCTGGCTAATGAAATAAAATATGAAAAGAAACTAAGAAGTATACATATCAGAAAGGAAGAAATAAAACTATCTTTATTCTCAGATGACATAATTTCTCTGTGTAAAGAATATGAAAGAATACACACACACACACACACACACATACACACCTAGTAAGGGA